AAGATGGGGATCTAAAAATGTACACCAATGAGGGAAGTTTGGTATATGTGGTACCAAGAAGCGCCCGCTACGAAGTTTTTCACGAAGCCCACGCAGGAACGTTTGCAGGGCATTTCAGTGCACACAAGGTGTTGAATAAACTGAGGAAGCAAGTTTTTTGGCCAGCCATGGCACGAGATGTCCATAAGTGGACACGAGAGTGTCAACGATGCTTTGTACACAACGCTAAGTCACGGCAACACCCCCATTGAAGCCGATAGTCACTTCGAAACCCTATGAAGTTGTCGGTGTGGATGTTTTGGAATTGGGGATGACGTCGAGTGGGAATCGGTATGCGATTACCGTCATCGACCATTTCTCGAAGTTTGCAGCAGCCTACCCTGTAGCGGACAAGTCGGCAGAAACGATTGCGAAAACCCTTTTCGTGAGATGGATAGCGGAAGGATGCCGCTGGCCTAAAGCAATCTTGTCGGACAGGGGTGGAGAATTCGAGAATAAAATCATGGAGGAGTTGACTAGGATTACTCGTATAGAGCACTTTATGACCAAAGGCTATAATCCTAGGAAAACGGCATAACCGAACGGTTGAATGGAATTGTGGTAGCCGTAGCCGTGCTGAGGCAGTACTGCCGATGGAATGGGACGTAAGGTTACCATTATGTATGCTTGCTTATAACACGACTCTCCATCAGGCGACGGGAGAGAGTCCTTATTTCATTTTGCATGGTAGAGATCCCAATTTGTACTCAAATGTAAGGGCAAACGGAGGCGTTTCGTGGCATATGATGGATAAGGATAAGGAAAACTATAAAATGCAATTATTGCAGTAGGTAGCGGAAATTCATGACCGGATAAAGCAGTGTAACGAGCATATAATGAAGAAAATGAAGGAACACGATAAGAGAAACGACGTGGAGTGAATAAGCTCGCGAAAAAGGGAGACCGTGTGTATATGCCGTCTCCAAGGGGAAAAGCAATGCCCCCCAAAAGTTGCGTGTGAGTGAGCTGGACCCATCAGGGTTAATTGAGACGAGCGATAACTCAGCAGTTAATTACGAGAATAGGTGAAAACTCAGAGCCGATTCGGGTGCAGTTTGATGCGCTAAGAGTGGATTCCACCCTACATTCCCAGATGATCGAATAGATAGTCAAAAGTGGGGGTAGAAAAGGAAGAAAACCAAGAGTTAAGGTCCATAGAATTAAAAGTTTTTGTTTCAGAGGTGCGGAAGGTGCGGACCTACGTTCAAAGCTGGAAAAAGGACATCTCAAATACCTGTGTAAGGATGGATATATGAAGGACGTCAAGTTAGAGGAACTCCGTGGAGTTATGGGATGCATGGCGCGCAGCAAGCATTCTCATCAGATCGGGCATCGACATGACCTCGAAGGTAAAATTCCGGGAGGAGGGAGCAGTCTCTTTGGAAGAAAGCACTGCAGAAAGTTCTTCGCCTGGCACACGAAAAATGTCTCGAATTGGACAGAATTCGTTTGCGTCACAGAAGGAATCAGTAAGCACGAGAAGATCGATAACTATGGATTCGAGAAGACCTATGATGGCACTGAAGAAGGTTAAAAGGAAATTGAGAAGGAAGAGAGGGCGAAACGGCCTACCAAGGAGGGCTCGACAGCTCTCGCGGCACCCGCAAGTGCGGCCCTCTTGAGAAAAGACGGTTCCGAGTGGGCGACTATGCTACATGGACGATCGTGCCAATGGATCAGAACGTCGAACAAGACGAGATAATGGAATAGTGAAAACTTGCGAAAGGCATTTTGAAAGTGGTGGTCGTGTGATCTCAGCCTGGCCCCCTGTAGTTGCGAAAATGTGGATTTGTAGAAAAAAATGGATATCTGGAAGTTGCTGGATAATGCCCTGAAAAAAGGCGGGGGCAGGACAGTTTTTCAAAGCTTCCAATTCAAAAATTGAGAATGGCACAGTTTTTTGTGAGATCGGAGCCCCCGAAGGCTGTCATTTCTTTTTACAGCTCCGATTGTACTGTGGCATGCGCTAAGGCACTTTATGAGGGTATAAGGAAAAGGGTAGTTGGTTTGGTTCCATTGCCCGAGCTCAAGAGGAACGAGATCCCACTGCTGAGGGCAGCAGCTTCAGAGGGGGGAGGCATGTGGGAGGGCAGGTCATTGAGAGGCCCCAGGAAGCGCCGTGATTTTGGCGCGAATTAGAGCGTATATAAGAGCGATGGAATCATGGAGGATGTCTCAATCTGATCTGACAGCCAGGATCGCGGTGCTGCTCCCCCCCCCCTAATTTGGTTTCTTCACTGGATATATCATTTGTTTGTATTATTCCTTTGCCGCCCTTTTAATTGTAAAAAGTTTCAAGCTGTTATTGTTTGATAACTGCTGTTTAACGCCGCAGTGCGCGATCCGAAAGTTATCACAAGAATGCTGAGTTGTGGGCAAAAGTCGGACCACGGACGGGATTCGAACCCGCATCTTCCGCTTACCGGGCAGAACCATTGAGCTGAAGGTCAAAAGTGAACCCGGTAGCGTAATAGAGAACGAAGCTGCCCGAAAAGCAGGAAATGCTCGAATCCCGTCCGTGGGACTTCTGCCAACAATTCAACATTCCTGTGACAACTTTCGGATCGCGCACTGCGGCGTTAAACAGCAGTTATCAAACAATAACAGCTTGAAACTTGTAAAAAGCCTTCAGCCTTGCGGTTCACTGCCGATATCGGCTAACCGGCTCATCACGTTGAACGTGTGAGTGCTCGAAGGCAATGGCACAAATAGCCATTGAGCTGAGAGGTCAAAAGTGGCCCCGGTAGCGTAATAGGGAACGCAGCTGCCCGGAAAGCAGAAGATGCGGGTTCGAATCCCGTCCGTGGTCCGACTTTTGCCCACAACTCAGCATTCCTTGTGTAAAAAGTTTGTTGAATAAATTGTTCTCTGCAATTCTGTCTTCGTGATCACATCGAACCGTCACGTTCGGTGTCTACTTGACTGATCTGCTGAGTGGACATTCGGTACGACCACCCATTCTCCTTTTCTGGCCTTGCAACTTGCCTTTGTTTCCGGCTGCCTTTCAGATGTTCTTCGCAAGAACCATAACAGATCCTTTACCAATCAGAGATTGCACATCTCGGTATGCTTTCGCTCGGCTTCCGTCTAAGGGCACGTGCGAAACGGAAGCTGAGCTATCTCTTTGCTTTCGACCCCCTCAATAATTCTCATTTATTAGATTTTACAACATAGTCCTTAATTTCAATTTCAATGATTTTATTACTGTTCTTCCCGCTCCCGAGTGAGCCCAGCGCTTACGGACCCCTCCCACCTCCGCGGTCCAAAAAGCACCCCTTCGTTGTGATTTCCACGACGACGGCGTGTCCTGCCTCCCGCCCGTTACATGACCATACAAAAGGGAACTGGATTCGGCGCCACCTCAGCCCCTTTTCCACCAACGCTTCATTAATCGTTCGGAGGAAAGGCTGGCGCCGCTTCAGTCCCAGCCCCCCCCCCTTTTGACACACCATAGCATCGACAACAAAACGACTGCACCATGCATCGACAACAAAACGACTGTACAAGGTGTCGAATTTATGCCATTTTCACTTTAAGTCGGACACTTCTCGAATCAGATCAGACACACCCCTTGCAATGGATAGCTGAGAACTAGAACACACTAGGTACTGCTGCAAGTCCGACATCCCTGCCCACTTCTTAGCACGGGAATGGTTTTCCAAAATGTTTTATGAATTCTGCTTCTTCGAATTTTTTTCACTTTTGCTATTTGACACACACACTTCAACTGATTAGGGTACCGACACATATATGACTCCGCCCACTTCACAATGAAGTTACGTAAGTTCTGAATTTTTATAACTTTTTTCGACGTCGTTCTTTTCACATTCAATCTTCACAAAACGAATAGTAGCCATGCATTTACACACTAGCACACTAAGCCCCGCCATGCAATTCTCACTAGCACACTAAGCCCGCCATGCATTTACACACTAGCACACTAAGCCCCGCCCCTCTGACCACGCCCACTTTCGTTTTTCGCGGAATTTTGATTTTTCTTCCGAATTTTCACTTTTTTAGGCTGTGACAAGCGGCCCCGCCCACTAATGGAAGCTCCGCCCACTTTGTAGAAGCCCCGCCCACTTTTCAAAAATGATGCAGATCGGCGAGCTAGTGACCGTACTAGCAGGTTATGGCCTCTCCCGTCACATAGAATGAAAAAAAGGGAAAGACCGAAAAAAAGGGAAACTTTGTTCCGGAGTGACGGGAGAGGCCATAATCCGCCAGTACGGACACTAGCCCGCCGATTTGCATCATTTTTGAAAAGTGGGCGGGGCTTCTACAAAGTGGGCGGAGCTTCCATTAGTGGGCGGGCCGCTTGTCACAGCCTAAAAAGTGAAAATTCGGAAGAAAAATCAAAATTCCGCGGAAAACACAAGTGGGCGGGGTCAGAGGGGCGGGGCCTGGTGTGCTGTGCATGGTTATTCGTTTTGTGAAGATTGGATGTGAAAAGAACTACGTCGAAAAAAGTTATAAAAATTCAGAACTTACGTAACTTCATTGTGAAGTGGGCGGAGTCATATATGTGTCGGTACCCTAATCAGTTGATGTGTGTGTGTCAAATAGCAAAAGTGAAAAAAAATTCGAAGAAGCAGAATTCATAAAACATTTTGGAAAACCATGGCCGCGCTAAGAAGTGGGCGGGGATGTTGGGGCGGGGCTTGCAGTACCTAGTGTGGTCTAGTTCTCAACTGCCCATTGTAAGGGGTGTGTCCGATTTGATTTAAAAGTGTCCGTTTTGATTTGAAAAGTGTCCGATTCAAAGTGAAAACGATATAACTCAAAAAAGCGTTAATTTGAGTTGCAAAATGTTAAAATCGGTCCAAATAGTAATAAAAGGTAGGATCATCCTCAATATAATAACAAACGAGGCGGATCTTAGATGCGTTTGTACCATTTAACGAGTAAAAGTAGAAATTGCCAGCAAATAATGAGACGATCAATCTTCATTGAAGAAAAAACTATAAAGTGCGTACACGCCAATAATCACATACTTCACCTCGAATCCGGACAGAAGAGCGACTCGATGATCCATGATCATCTCTCTGACACACATCAGGGCTCATACTACTAGACTGTGCTGCGGGAGAGGTACATTCGCCGACAGTACGAAGCAGAATATCTCGAGTCCCCAATATCTGAAATTAACAAAAATAGTTAGAAGATAAGGACACCAAGCGTACACATTAAAGCTCACCTCAATCTCACCGAGTCTCATGATTTCGACACGAAGTCGATCAGTTGTACCAACTGTGAGCCTTGTCACACATTTAATAACACTGAAACCTTTAAGCTGGAGATAAAGAGAACACTCATGGTGAATAACTAGTGAACTACTTGGTAACCCACAGGTCTTTGCAACTTTTGGCCAGAAGAATCCCTTTGCAAAACGGCACAACATAATTAGTAGGAGCATTACACAGCACTGAAATTTCGAAAATGGCATCTTCCATCAAAGCAGCATGATATGGGCATTACATTAAGCTCGGTATTACAGAAACGCTGTAAGGTGTCCACAGAATAACAAAGACAACTAGGCAGCGTTCAGACTTCGCGATGACGCGCTGTTAACGCGCGTCGACGTGCTACAATTGCAACAGCGCGCCAGTCCTGTAGACGCGAACGCAGCCACAGACGGGAATCGAGAGGCCCGGCCGTTCATGTTCTGAGAGAGTATAGTAGTTCAACAGAACGGCAGGCGGTGCCTTCACGCAATCTGGTACTCTCTCTTTCTTCTATGTATGTAATACACTCCCTAAGCCCTAGCGGCCAGTGCCGGTCGATACCAGATGCGTGGTTAGGTGATGCGTACACTAATCTTCCTCCATACTCTTAATATACGAACGGTCGGGCGCCGATCACTTCCCCTGTACGGCTACGTTCTGGGTGTCTATAAAAGTGGAGCGCTATTGCAGCTTTGGGCGCATCACAGCGCGTCATCGCAGAGTCTGAGCGTTACCTTAGAAGTAATCTATGTCTTAATGGCTTTCAGTGAAATAAAAAAACTAAACTACTAAAGAATGATGTGAACGCTCTTGTAAACACCTTTTATAATTAACTGACCAATAGAATGCTTCTGCGTACTTGAGGTCAGCGGTCGCAGAGTGCACTACTTCCTATTTGGAAGTGAGATATTAGGTTGCCAGAAACATGTGACTTGCTCCGTTTGGACCGGCGTCTCCCATAAATGCTCAAGGAGCATGAAATGGAGGGAGCGGTCAATAACCGCGCCATTCGCTTGTAATGTCGAAGGATTCCATGCCTTCACCAAATCTTTCTCGAAAGGACCTTTATGCGATCAACAATCTACTTCGCAAAGTAGGGTGTGTTTTGGTGCTGTTCAACTGAATGAATGATGCAGCTGCACTGGTGCATTAGCTCCTCGGATTATTCTCTGTGCCGCGAGAAGGGATATTAAGAGCTGTTTATCGTTACTAGTTTCGTTTCCATGCTAGCTCTTTGACTCTTTCTAATAGTTGCACACCCCTTAGCGCTGGAAGATGCGAAGAAATGTTCTGAACCAGGGATGGGGATGGCCATTTGAAGCGTAACATGGATCAGTACATGTGTTTTCGGACGCCGATCTCAAATCCGCCTTCGAAATTTGCAGAACGACTGAATGGACTTGTGATGGTTTGTTCGTATAAAGGGATACGCATTCAAGCGCGGTTGCCATTCAATTCGCTTGAATAACCGGGGAGCGAATCCTGAAGTGGTGGCAATATAGTGTTGTGGTAAGGGTCTTGCTTCGCGGGCGTGAGATGAGAGTTCGGCTTTAGCGAGGCAAACTTTTGCACTTACAAGGGAGGTCGTTCAGGGCGTGCCCCGCTTTTTCAAAACGGTCTTTTGCATTTTGTAGGGGCTCGTACATAGACTACAAAAGTGGTGTTCATTTTTGCTGTGCGGCCACCGGTATGCCAAAAAAGGAGCGAAATACCTCTCCCAAGGAAGGGCCATTTAAACCACCAAAATGCAGTCCAGTACGCTTGTAGCGTCGAATACACGTTGTATTGAGGGTGATCTTCTCTTGAATGTTGTAAACCACTTCAAATATGCCCATTTATAGAGCACGATTCCTTATGCGTAGTGGGGAGATCGCAGAAGGTTGTGGCAGTGTCATAAGCAATGGACGCCACCTTCCCCTCGTGGTGGTCAAATGGCGCAGTGGATAGTGGATCGGGCTCTGGAACGTGGTGGATGGTGGGTTCTTGGATCGGATCCCGCCACTGGCGATGTTTTTGCATTTGCTGGGACTTCGTCCTTTAGCATTTCCAATTGTCTGTAAATGGGTGCAAACCGCAAATACGATTTGGCACGTTCTGTCGCATTTCATGGGTTGATGTAGACATTTTTCGTCTGTGATCTGCAAACGTTGGAATTTTCATTCATTTAACACAAGTTCAGCAATTGTGATAAGTTTCTACGAAGCATGTGAAGCACAAGCGCTTGCCGCACCAACTACACTTGACAAAAGCCAACAAAGTGCAGGTGTTGTTTCCTTGACACGGGACAACGACCTCCCCATCGTTGAACCCGTAGTCAGTCGGAGTCAGGAATGGTTCAGGATGGTCCTCAATGTATCCAGCCGCCACCCAAGCGTATGCCAAGCACGGACGGAAGATGGGAGCACAGAACTGACGGTACGTCTGGCTGATGACCTGCACAGGAACGAATATGAATAAGTTTGGCTAGCACTGTCAACAAAAGGACCTTACTTTGAGGATGTTGTCCCTGTTGTAGGTGAAGTCAGGGTGATGGTGCGCTACATGATCATATATGCGACGGATGTAGCGCTTGAATACACGGAAGAAGTACACATCCAATGGCTGACAAAGGGCTGTTGCTCCCGCTGGTATGGTCATTAATCGCACTTCCTTCCCATCAGGCACCTTTGACAGCACATTGGAGTGGTCCGTGAATCCACTCCAACTATCGACTAGGAGTATAGTCAGTGGAGGGGAAGACGACCCGACCACACACTCCTCGACGAAAGTTGGTACCTGCGCCTTTGTCATTATGTGCGTCTTCCCTGCCATCACCAGCAGGTTGGGTGCCTGCCAATGTCCACACTGAGGGAAGACTCCACCCCTTTCGGGGAGGATTACTAGCAGTTTTTCTCCGAGTCGACCGTCGGCATAGATCACAGGCATGGCCGTGAATGAGTGCGTAAGTGATGAGACTGAATTGGACCAGTCTCATCACTTGCTTGGACCCGACCGGAGCTAAAGTTCTGGAACAATTTTGTTACTTTGGGGATGTAGTTAGTGAACACAATCCAAAATGTATTTATCATGAGGCCTACCTCTTCGAAATGACCTCCTTGTTCACAGCTGTCTGATCTGCGTTGGCAAACGCAGATCTGGGATATTTTTTCATCTCTTCCCGTACAGCCTTCACGAAAGCCTCGGCTTCCGCTTCGACATCATGTCGACAACGGAGGCTCTTTGAAGTGACGAAGTGCGTCACCTTTCTCGAGCATAAACCGCACTGCCGCACAAACTTGGCAACCCATGACTTGGAAGCTCGGAAATCATCGATAAGTTTGTGCTCCGAATTTATGCGAAGGGCAATGTGTCGGATGACGCCATAATTCAAAGGAAGTCCTGGAAGGCCAACACTGACTCGCGCCATGTATCGAACACTACACGACCATAGAGCTGCAAGGCATACCTCGCTCAGCAGCTTCCAGCACCTCTTCACGGACTAGAGCAGAGAGTCGTTCGAACTTTATCACCCTAGCTTCCTCAACCATGGCTTAATGAGAAAAATCAAAATTTGCAAAGGTATGCATGTATATGCGGAAGTGATACAGTCCATTGCTGAGTCTGGAGTACCTCTTCGTTCAAGCTCCCTGATGCGATTCATATGGCGTTTCGTTTTGATCCACCTGAATCGGTTTGCCGTAGATGACAGAAGGCCGGGTTCCGTTTTCAGTTTCACGGTAATATTTGATGGCCTGCTGGATCTGCGAAGACACAAAGGTGATACAATGACCCTATCAGATCTGATATCTCTACTGGGAACTAACCGCCTCTTCGCGAATAGGCTTTCCGTAAAAGAGTACGGTCTTTTGTGATGGCAGATCATTCTTACTGCAGTCATCCTCTGTCGTCATCGGGAGCCCAACTGACATCTAGTTGTTCATCAAGCGACACCTGTAAAGTCGCGGTAGTTAAGGAGTGGGATCACATAGTGTCTTAAGTGCGCTCTTATTACTCGTCAATCCTAACCTGGAAAGAATCTTCTTCCTCTTCGCAGTCGATGTCACCATTTGCTGCGTTTTGAAGAATTCCTTTGAAGGCATCAGCAACTGCGATTTCTTTCCTCGTTGGAGGAGAAAAATCAGGAGCAAATGATGAGAGAAGACGGCCGATGACCCTAGCTGGTGAAAACGACATGCTGAAGTGAGTAAGGGTTCACAGCGTAGCCGATGTTGATGTGGCGGAAAAGTTCCAGTAGATCACGACCGCATACATGTCCAAGCATGTACGAGCACAAGAAAGAGTGGCTCAGAGAAATCACTGCGCCTGCTTGGCATACGCTTGGGTGGCGGCTGGATACATTGAGGACCATCCTGAACCATTCCTGACTCCGACTGACTACGGGTTCAACGATGGGGAGGTCGTTGTCCCGTGTCAAGGAAACAACACCTGCACTTTGTTGGCTTTTGTCAAGTGTAGTTGGTGCGGCAAGCGCTTGTGCTTCACATGCTTCGTAGAAACTTATCACAATTGCTGAACTTGTGTTAAATGAATGAAAATTCCAACGTTTGCAGATCACAGACGAAAAATGTCTACATCAACCCATGAAATGCGACAGAACGTGCCAAATCGTATTTGCGGTTTGCACCCATTTACAGACAATTGGAAATGCTAAAGGACGAAGTCCCAGCAAATGCAAAAACATCGCCAGTGGCGGGATCCGATCCAAGACCCACCATCCACCACGTTCCAGAGCCCGATCCACTATCCACTGCGCCATTCGACCACCACGGGTGGCAGGTGGCGTCCATTGCTTATAACACTCCCACAACCTTCTGTGATCTCCCCACTACGCATAAGGAATCGTGCTCTATAAATGGGCATATTTGGGCATATTTGAAGTGGTTTACAACATTCAAGAGAAGATCACCCTCAATACAACGTGTATTCGACGCTACAAGCGTACTGGACTGCATTTTGGTGGTTTAAATGGCCCTTCCTTGGGAGAGGTATTTCGCTCCTTTTTTGGCATACCGGTGGCCGCACAGCAAAAATGAACACCACTTTTGTAGTCTATGTACGAGCCCCTACAAAATGCAAAAGACCGTTTTGAAAAAGCGGGGCACGCCCTGAACGACCATCCTGGTTAGTTAGAAATTTCTCTTTTGAGTCTAGAGAACACTTTCAAACTTTGACATGACCGCACTTCACGAATCCAGTCAGCGACCGGGAGCTGCGGAGAAAAAACTTGG